AGTAAAGATGTTAGAATTACACTAGATCAGTACCTGCACAACCTCGAAAAATGAAAACTTGCAAGAATATACCTTGGTTCAATCTTTCTACATTTGCTTTTGAATGATGCTGTCTATCTGGTAGGAAACTCTTTTCTCATCAGTTATGCTTGCAGATTATCAAGGCCATAATCCATTGCCTGAAAAAAAATCAAAGTGAGACTGTTTAAAAAACATAAAATAAATTGAACTATAAAATGCCATATTAGTTTATTCTTAGCCTTGTAGAGGAGCAAGAAAATCCTACTGAAGCCCTGATATGTTGGGGCCTAGCATCTTTGTTAGACTGCTGGATGCTTTGTTGAAGTAGATGAGCAGAGCATTTTTTGTTGTTTTGAATCACAAAGCTGTGCAAAACTTCTGGTGGCTTTAATTGGTACCATGTAACGGTGATCACCGCATGCCACCGTCAAAACTTGCAAAGAGCTTTAGGAACATCTTTTAATAGCAGTAGATACAGTATTCTGAGCAGACAACACAAAAGCAAACATGAAAACTCTTTCGCCTTTGGGTAGCGTGGTTATGTCAGTGAAGAGATGGCCTCTTGATTAAATCCAGACTGAGCAGTTTCCTGTTAGCACGCTAACTCAGCCCACAATGTCTTATTCTGAAAGTCTGTTATTGAGCCTGTCTGCCAAGTCCTTTTTCCTTTTAAACTTACAGGCTGAATTGCTAAAATAATACAAATAAAACAATCCCTAAAAGTCTCTTAAAATGATTTCTAGCAGTTTATTGTTTTGCTGACAAACTCAGTTTTAGATTTTCAGGGTTTGGGGTTGTTTTTTGTTTTGTTTTGTTTTTTGTTTTTGTTTTTGTTTTTTTTTAAACATTCTCCCAATATGATGTCTTGAGAAAGTTGCAGTGTTGCAATTAAAGGAAAATTCTGTGCATATATCAATCTTGGAGGCAGATTCTGCCCTTGGTTGGTACATAGTCACATCAGTGAATGAGAGGTTTTTACACACACTGAGTAGAATGTGTCCGTAAGTCAGTACATCATGAGTTGGGCAGTCTGCTGGATAGAAAATTAATAGTTAAATACAGTGGTGCAGACTTTATTCCCCGTTTGAAAGCAGTTGTATTCTGTAACTAGTTATTTTCAGAAGTCTATTTTACTTGTAAGATGAAAAGTCGGCAAGAAAACTTAATTATTTTTTTTTCCCGGGAATGGTTTGCTTAAGGAAAATTTGGATGGAGGAGATGTGTAGTGGTGGTAACATATCCTCTTAGCCTTTCTGTAATGGTGGGGTTGCGCTGGGGTAGCAGTGGGGTTTGATGCAGTAGTACTGTGCATTGTCTTGTCTGTTTATAAAAGGCATTAATGGGTTCATGACACAAGCCCAAGCTACCCAGTTTGTAATTTCACAATCTGTTTGAACAGATGTAAACCTGCGATGCTTCCAGAAATTGTCTTGCAGCTTGCACCCAAACCTGTGTCAGCCTGTGTGTTTCTGTAGCCGTGGGGTGAACTTGTGTGGCTTAAACCTGAGCCCACGGAGTGTTTCGGTGGGACCAGTTTCACAGCCCACTTTGCTGGAGCAGACAGGCAGAAAAGGGCCTCTGGGAATGGCTCCTTTCAGCAGCTTCAGCTCAATGTGAAGTGGTGCCATTTTGCAGTTGAGATGAGGCTGCAAGTTTCCTAGGACCTCTGCTTACCTACTGGGTCTATGCTCATCACAGTCTGTTGACAGGTCCCTGTGGCTTGATTCCTACAAGATGCTCCTGGATCTTTCAGGGCTTCCTACAGACAGAGGCACTTTTCTGCCAAAAAACCTGCGCTTGGGCCCACTTCTTAGAAAGTCCAGAACATCGTAGGATACTGCTATTATTCCTGATTTTTCTTTCCCTATCGAGTCTGGGGGTTTTAGAAATTGTTTTTGTGTTGTGGGGTTTTTTGGTTGTTTTTTGTTTTTGTTTTTGTTTTTTTTTTTTTTTTAATACAACAGGCTGTATTTTAATGTAACAATGAGAGTTTGTTGGACCTCATTAAGCTGGGAAATGAGATGTCCTTGTGGAAGAGTAGCAAAGCTTTAGACTAATATTAAAGACATCTATATCGCTTGAAACAAAAAAGGGTATCTATTATAAATAATTCAAAAGCAATGGAAGGTAGTGATGTAAATATGGAGTGGGTGGGTTATTCCTAATTATTTTATGAATAGATTAATGTTTTTTCATTGTGTTTTGTCAGCATGCCAAGCCAGGGTCAGTAGTGGCCGTAAGTCATTTAACATGCTGTCTTCATGTCCTCAGTCTAGTACCGAGGGTAATGTTGGAATCTTGTTAGCTTTGTTTCTAACTCAAACCTTAGTAGGCTGTTTCTGGAGCAAAACTTCTGGTCAAACTAGCCATGTGTCTGAACTTCATATTCAGTTCTGGTTGTGTTCTGTCAGGATGAATTTGAGACTGAAGAAGAAGATGATGAAGATGATGACCAAGATGACAAAAAAGAAGACAAAGATGAAGAAGAGGATGACAACAAAGAAGTAGGCGATGACGACAAAGAAGTAGGCGACGACGTCGAAGTAGGCGATGAAGACGACGAAAATGACAAAAAAAGACAAGACGAAGATGAAGACGATGAAGATGATGACAAAGATGACGAAGAAGACAAAGACGGAGAAGAAGACGATGACAACCAAGAAGTAGATGATGACAACAAAGAAGTAGGCGACGACGACGAAGTAGACGATGAAGACGATGAAAATGACAAAAAAAGACAAGACGAAGATGAAGACGATGAAGATGATGACAAAGATGACGAAGAAGACAAAGACGGAGAAGAAGACGATGACAACCAAGAAGTAGATGATGACAACAAAGAAGTAGGCGACGACGACGAAGTAGACGATGAAGACGATGAAAATGACAAAAAAAGACAAGACGAAGATGAAGACGATGAAGATGATGACAAAGATGACGACAAAAAAGAAAAAAATGAAGAAGAGTATGACAACAAAGAAGTAGGCGACGACGAAGTAGACGATGAAGATGACAAAAATGACAAAAAAAGGCAGGAAGAAGATGAAGACGATGAAGATGATGACAAAGATGACGAAAAAGAAGACAAAGACGAAGAAGAAGAGGATGACAACAAAGAAGGAGATGATGATAACAAAGAAGTAGGCGACGACGACGAAGTAGACGATGAAGACGACGAAAATGACAAAAAAAGACAAGACGAAGCAGAAGACGATGAAGATGATGACAAAGATGGCGACAAAAAAGAAAAAGATGAAGAAGAGTATGACAACCAAGAAGTAGATGATGACAACAAAGAAGTAGGCGACGACGATGAATTAGACGATGAAGACGATGAAAATGACAAAAAAAGACAAGACGAAGAAGAATACGATGAAGATGATGACAAAGATGACGACAAAAAAGAAAAAGATGAAGAAGAGTATGACAACAAAAGAAGTAGGCGACGACGACGAAGTAGACGATGAAGACGACGAAAATGACAAAAAAAGACAAGACGAAGGCAGAAGAACGAAGATGATGACAAAGATGATGACAAAAGATGAAAAAGATGAAGAAGAGTATGACAACAAAGAAGTACATGATGACAACAAAGAAGTAGGCGATGACGAAGTAGACGATGAAGACGACGAAAATGACAAAATAAGACAAGACGAAGGTGAAGATAATGAAGATGATGACAAAGATGATGAAAAAGATGAAAAACATGAAGAAGAAGAGGATAATAACCAAGAAGTAGATGATGACAACAAAGAAGTAGGGCGATGACGAAGTAGACGATGAAGACGACGAAAATGACAAAATAAGACAAGACGAAGGATGAAGACTATGAAGATGATGACAAAGATGATGAAAAAGAATGAAAAACATGAAGAAGAAGAGGATGACTAACCAAGAAGTAGATGATGACAACAAAGAAGTAGGTGACGACGACGAAGTAGACGATGAAGACGACGAAAATGACAAAAAAAGACAAGACGAAGCAGAAGACGAAGATGATGACAAAGATGACGACAAAAAAGAAAAAGATGAAGAAGAGTATGACAACAAAGAAGTAGATGATGACAATAAAGAAGTAGGCGATGACGAAGTAGACGATGAAGACGACGAAAATGACAAAATAAGACAAGACGAAGGTGAAGATAATGAAGATGATGACAAAGATGATGAAAAAGATGAAAAACATGAAGAAGAAGAGGATAATAACCAAGAAGTAGATGATGACAACAAAGAAGTATACGACGACGAAGAGACAAAGAAGACGACGAAACTGACAAAAAAAGGCAGGAAGAAGATGAAGACGATGAAGATGATGACAAAGATGACGAAAAAGAAGACAAAGACGAAGAAGAAGAGGATGACAACAAAGAAGGAGATGATGATAACAAAAAAGTAGGTGACGACGACAAAGTAGACGATGAAGACGACGAAAATGACAAAAAAAGACAAGACGAATCAGAAGACGATGAAGATGATGACAAAGATGGCGACAAAAAAGAAAAAATGAAGAGTACGACAACAAAGAAGTAGATGATGACAACAAAGAAGTAGGCGACGACGATGAATTAGACGATGAAGACGATGAAAATGACAAAAAAAGACAAGACGAAGAAGAATACGATGAAGATGATGACAAAGATGGCGACAAAAAAGAAAAAGATGAAGAAGAGTATGACAACAAAGAAGTAGATGATGACAACAAAGAAGTAGGCGACGACGATGAATTAGACGATGAAGACGATGAAAATGACAAAAAAAGACAAGACGAAGAAGAATACGATGAAGATGATGACAAAGATGACGACAAAAAAGAAAAAGATGAAGAAGAGTATGACAACAAAGAAGTAGATGATGACAACAAAGAAGTAGGCGACGACGATGAATTAGACGATGAAGACGATGAAAATGACAAAAAAAGACAAGACGAAGAAGAATACGATGAAGATGATGACAAAGATGACGACAAAAAAGAAAAAGATGAAGAAGAGTATGACAACAAAGAAGTAGATGATGACAACAAAGAAGTAGATGTTGACAAGAAGTAGGTGATGACGACGAAGAAGTAGATGAATACGACGAAATTGACAAAAAAACAGACGATGAAGATGATGACAAAGATGACAAAAAAGAAAAAAAGACGAAGAAGAGGATGACAACAAAGAAGTAGGTGATGACAACAAAGAAGTATACGACGACGAAGAGACAAAGAAGACGACGAAAATGACAAAAAAAGGCAGGAAGAAGATGAAGACTGATTTCTAACTACATTTTTTTTTCTCCTCTGTTGCTGCTTTATGATTTAACTTTGAAGTAACTGACAAAAAATAATTTATTCTTTACAGTATTTTTTACTAAGTATGTAAGATTCATGGTGTGCAGTGAATTATGAATCCCTATATGTGAGCTTGCTAGTCAGTATTTTCTTACAGTATACTTGTGCTGACAGAAAAAGATACAGTTTTCAGGAAGAATGGAATGGGACATCACTTATGTCAATATACTGCATCTCAAATTTTTGTTTACTTTGCAAAATCAGTAAATCTATCTCTGTCATTAAAATGATGTGTCTCGGTAATACTGATTCAGAAGTGATCCCGTTGAAAGCTTTGCATTTCATTCAGTTTTATCTCAAGATGAAGTGAGTGTTGAAAACCATTCTTATAGTACAGTAAACATACACTGTGATACAGTATCATACACACTAATACTCAGATCTTACTGTAAATTCTATTCGTAGTCACGTTTTTCATCTCTTGGCAATAAATTCTTCATATTACTGCATTATTTTTTTTCGAATAAGCATAGAGGGATCAAAACACTCTTAACTTCTGGAATGAAGGCTAATGAACAGCTCAACCAGGAGAGGTCATCACAAGATAAAAAGTAACATGGAAAATACAAATTTAGTGCTTTACAGTCTTTTACATGGCTTAAAGATGGAATGACAAGAATGACTACGGATAGGCTAACTTTCACTTGTGTTCTTATAAAAAAAAACACACAAAGCAGCGACCTTGTCTTCTTAATAAGAATATTGAGGGGATTCATTGTAGCATCATTCTGCTTCTCTATGAAAGCAACTCACTTAAAAAGTAATTGTCTTTCACAACTAGGTTTTATTTCTGGTTGTGTCTGTTTATGCACAGTGCAAACCTGATCAGCACAGGATTCTTAAAACTTCTAGTTCTAATACTTTTCATGCGTTTGCAGTAGGTCCCATACCACTGCTGAAGTTGAAGTTTAACCCCATTTTACAATATTTGATGCAGAAATAAAATGAGGGGCAGGTATAGAAAATTATTAAGATTTGTGTATAAGCAAAAATATGCATCTTTTAGCTTTGACTGCATAGCACCCAGACTTTCCTTAATAGCTTGTGTAAGTGAAAAAAGTATTAAAATAGTGTAATGTCCCTTTGAAAGAGCAAGGCGTTGTACAAGAAACTTATATTTAGGAGTTCTGGGCTATACAGAATTAGAGAATCTGTCCTTCCAGTTCATGGTGCTTGAATGTCGGGTATGTGGGGATGTCATATATTCTATTAGATTCACATTCAAGAATAGTTCTCTTCCAGATAATTTTTCAGACACAATGGTATTTTGTGAAATCTGGTCAATTCCAGTTGTGTTTCTGTTACATCTGATTAACATTTCTTAGTTTAGGTCCTGTTGCCTGGATGTAAACTCAGAAATCCCACAGAATTTAGTTTTAAGTATACAAAATCATTTTCATGTAGGTTTAACACTGAATAATTTTTCTTACACCTGAGTGTCAAAGCACTTACAAATATACTATACTTTTATACTGAGGGCCTAAGTTTCCTTTAAGACCATAGGATTTAATAACATTAAACATATACTTCCTTTTTTCTCTCTTTTAGAACACTTTAGATATTAATTAGACTAAAATTTACATCCATCATTTTATAATACTACTGTTTTTTAAGGTGCTATACATCACTACGTGATAAAATTAATATACAACAGGTAAACAACAGTTTGTTAATTGTTTATTATTTAACAATATTGAACTGAGTTACTTGGTGATTTTTTATATGAATGTGCTTTTCCTAGAACAATATGTTACCTTATATGTTAATGAAATAGTCATAAATAGTCTGATGTCATTTCCCAATTGCTGACAGCATCTAGTTCCTGTGTTGGTGCTGAAAAGCTGAATTTTCAAAGACCTTAACTTCTGTGTATGCAACATCACACACGGCCTGATTGAAGGCATCCGTCTATATACAGAAAGTCTGATTCAAAGGTTGATGTGGTCAGGGGCATTGAATCAATTGCAAATGTCATTGAATTAATGTTTTAAAAACTGGGTTTTGCTTGGGTTCTTTTTGCTTTTCTCATGTTTTTAGTTTCTTTAATTTTTTTAAACTCTGGTGCAATAATATGGAATAAGACACAAAAAGTGCTTCAGTAAGTGATCCAGTCTGCAAGTAAGTTTGAAAGTGAAGTTAAAAACTCTGAATTGAAAACCCGTCTCTGTGAACACTGGCTGTTTCTTTTGTAAAGAGACGAGAAATATTTTCTGGTTATCTCTCATTTTTTTTACTCGGGTAGTTTTAACACATTTGAAAGATGCAGTTGTGACAGGAAACTCTTTATATATTAATCAAACATTAGAAACTGTAGATCTACTTGGATAGCTCACATCACTATGGATCTGTGACAGACAGTAGGTTTTCCTATAGGAGTTCTTTAGGAATTTCAGCTTGAATCTCTAAATCTTATAAAGCATCAGATCTCATATTCAATGTTTAGTAATTATAGCAGAGTATTTAAGACTTTGTCATACTCTTAATGTTTGGGTCAATTACAAACTATGAACAAACTATGGGGGTTTTTTACATTTTTTTTTTTTTTTTCTACATATGCAGAAGCTGATCTGCATGTGAGCAATTTGACTCAGAGGTCAAACTTAAGATAACTAGTTAAATCTTGACATGTGTCACTGCCCATGTCTGTATTTCCTAAACGCCAATCATTCTCAGTCTTACAAAAGTACATGGACTTGCAAATGTGTTTCAGTCATTTCAGACAGAAAATACTAGAGAAGCAACATCAGTCTTCATCAGAGTGACTGAATGACTTAATTTTGTTAGTCTCCAAAATTTTAAAAAATAAATTTAGAATTATAACAGTGTTTAGAAAGAGGTAATTTGATCAAGGCATGATTTCCAAAATACACATGAACATGGGATCCTTCTTTGAAAGATCAGGAAGATCTGTGGGACAAAGAATACAGTCTGGTACCTTGAGTCTTCTCCCACTGAAGGAAATAGTAGTTTTGCCACTGATTTTAAGAACTGTATGGTTACATTTTTGGTTAGTGGAAAGTTCATTATTCAGTCCATTGGTATGAGATACTAGAAATGATTAAAAGGTTCTTCTGACTTCAGCCTTTGAACTAACATTGATTTTATCTGTATTACACTTCATTTATCCAGCTACTTTATTGACACTGCATAGGTAGATAATCTGAGACCACCAGATAACTGCAGAACATGTTAAATCTCTAAATTTGATGATGTAGGAAATGGCAGTAATAAGTAATTATTCTTTTGAGCCATTGCCGCAGTTTGAGCGTGGTCAGCAGCCAAGCACCACACAGCCATTCTCTCTCCCCCTTCTCTTCTGGCAATGAGAAGGGACAGAGAGCCAGGCTTGGGGTTCAAGATAGGACTGGAATGGGGAAAAAATCACACTTTATGATCACAAGCAAGAGGCAGACTCATTAGGGGAAGAACAAAAGAACATACACTTATTACAGACACTAACAACACGTAACAGAGTAGGACAGCGAGAAGCATTGCCCCATCTTGAGAACACCTTCCCCCCACCCCTCCCTTCTTCCCGGGCTCAGCTCTGCTCCCGATATCTCTACCTCCTCCCCCAGGGGCACAGGGGCAGGGAATGGGGGGTGCAGGCAGTGCTGCTGCTTCTGCCATCTGCGGTGGGGGGAGCTTCTGGAACTTGTTCCCCCTGCTCCATCATGGTCCCCCTCTCATAGTCAACAGTCCTCCACAAACTTCCTCCGACTGGAGTCCCTCCCACGGCTGCAGCCCTTCCCGAGCTGCTCCGGCGTGGGACTCCCCCGCATGCTGCAATCCTCCCAGCGCTGAATTACAGCAGCAGGGCTGCCTTTTCCCACAAGACCCCGGCCTTCTTCGGGCACAGAACCTTGATCAACCAGGCAAAAAAACACAGGCCATAACTCAGCGTCTGCCCCAGTGTAGATCTTCATGGGTGGCGGGGGGGGCCGCCCTCCT